CTAAAAATATATATATTTGAACAGCAATGTTCATATACAGTATGCCTCTAAATGTGATTTGTGATGATTTCAATCATTGAAAATCGATAAAAATTTAATATTTCCTTTTCATAAAAAGGATAAGTACTGACATTTTGATACTAATAAGATCTATTTCAGAGGATGATCCTTGTAGTCTCGGGTTCTAATATTGCCGAGAAAGGGGATTTTTTTTTTTGGACTGGACGTCATAAACAAAAAGGTTCAATGTAAAAAAGAAAAAAAGGAAAAGATCGCCCCCTTGGCATCTCTGTTAGTTTTATGGTCTTTTCATTTGAGAACCGAGTCTTTAGACATCAGTATAAATGGTATATTCTTGGTCCTTCATTTAATTGTGACAGGAAATGTCCCACGAGTCATGTCGTTGAATTCAATGACAAATATGTGCAGCATCTAGGTAATTTTATCTCTAAATAAAAAAACATACCTAAACATAGTTAGAAGTGAAATGTAATAAAGATTATCTGCTGTGTGCAAATTAATATATTTTGGTGAAATCTAGTGAAACGAGTTTAAAATAATGGTAGGCCTGTCTACGTCATCGCACAAAGAAACATGTTCGTTCTGCGCAGTCATTTCTGGGGCACTTGTCGTCTACCTTGTGTCCTTTATTGCCTCAGCTAATCCATGGAAAACAGAAACAGCAGACGATGGTGACGACAGTAGTGATGATACACGTGGCACCTAGGACGATGAAACCCAAGATTGGTCCTAGGACGATGAAACCCAAGATTGGTAGGGGGAGACAGTAGTACTTCCAGTGTTATCTGAATATAATAAATATTTGTAAACTTCTAATAATCGTAAAAAAGACAAAAACACGGAGCTTTGGAAACACCAGAGATGGGATCAGGTATCTAAGGATAGTAAACATCCCCTGTCGACCGGTCACACCCACCATGAGCTCTCTGTATTAACCAGGTAAATGTAGTATTTCGTAGTAAAATTAGAAAAAAAAACCAATGGCCTAACAATTTATGGGAAACACGTCTGTTATAATACGACCCAATGATATGTAGAATATTCAAACAATGTCATTATAACAAACATAGAATTCACGAAATGCTGACTTTAAACGAGATACTAGTAGTTGCAAACACTTTATCATCAACTTTTTATGCCCCCGTATCGAAGATTCGGGGGTATATAGTTTTTGGCCTGTCCGTCCGTCTGCCTGTCTGTTTGTCCGCAACAACTTTAACCTTGCCCATAACCTTTGATTGGTTGGAGCTATGGCTTTCAAATTTCACATGTGTATTCCTTGTGACAAGACCTTTCTATGGGTACCACCATATTTGACCTTTTGACCTTGGAGTTTGACCCAGTTTTGCAAAATTTTACCAAACTTTAACCTCGGCCATAACTTTTGAACAATTGGTTCTAGGGCTTTCTTACTTCACATGTGTAATCTTTGTGACAAGACCTTCCTTTGGATACCGACAACTTTGACCTTTTGAACTTGACCTGGCAGTTTGATCTACTTTTGAAAAACTTTAACCTTGGCCATAACTTTTGAACAATTAGTGCTAGGGCTTTCATACTTCACATATGTATTCCTTGTGATAAGACCTTTCTTTGGATACCAAAAATTTTGACCCTTTGACCATGACCTTGGAGTTTCACCTACTTTTGGAAAACTTTAACCTTGGCCATAACTTTTGAACGATTGGTGCTTCGGCTTTCATATTTCACCTGTGTATTTCTTGGGAGAAGGCCTTTCCATGGGCACCATTAATTTTAACCATTTGACCTTGATGTTTGACATACTTTTGAAAAAACTTTAACCTTTTCCATATCTATTCAATGGTTGTTGCTAGGGCTTAATATTTCACAGGTTTATTCCTGGAGACAAGGCCTTACATTGGGTACCAACATATTTGATTTGCATTTGAGAAAGTTTAACCTTTGCTATTAGTTGCCTTACGGGTGCACATCTTGTTTGTCAGTAGTAAATGATCGTACTGGGAACAAGCTCTTGCTTACAGAATCAGTAGGGAGACATAAACTACACATGAAGGTGATAAAGGAATATTACCATCTAAGACATTTTCTACCTATATTTGAATGACCCTTGTAAATAGGGAAAGCTGACGATGGAAAAGCTGAAGTAAATTAGATTAGAAATACATGACTAAAGCAATACTGAGTTTTCCATCAATTCCTCAATTCTTTAATCTGTTTATCAAAGTAGTTGTTCCTCGATAATTGTAGTTTTGTTTTATTTACTTCCAAAGAATGAATTGAAAATACGTAATTATTTAAATTTATTTTCTTTACAAATACTTATAAAAACAAATATGGCTGTAGCCACTCATAAAAATAAATCAAAGAATAATTTGAGTTGTCCCCCATTCGCCATCTGCCTGGAAGCAATTTACAATGTTATTGGATTCAACCAGTTTTAATATAACTCAAAAATTTGATGCTACAGTATGTACAAGTTGACAAGTAAAGAAGATACACGTCTGATTAAGTCTTTTTGCCCATTATTTATAAGATATAACCTTTGCAAACCAAACTGTATACTAGTACTTTGAAACTTACATTTATACGTTCTCTTTTACATATGTATGTCTTGTAATTCACATGCTGATAAATATTTCAAATCTTTTTATTAAATTTATGGCCCTCATTTTTATTTATTTCTTCATTTTAAATGAAGTACAATACCTTGAAATTCTGTAAAAAGATGAGTTAATTAATTATTGATATCAGTATTTACGGTTTGATAACTCAATGTTTCTCCATGATAAGCAGGTATTTACAATAATAACACACTTTCAAGCATGTTTACCATATTGTTGAATTTTGTGTGAAGATGCATTAAAAAATACCCATTTCGCAGTTAGAGCCTTTATGTGTATGAGGACAAATGCATGAAAAGCCAACTCCTTGATCTGTGCATTTTCCGCCATTCAGACGGACTATCACTGCAGGTCTTGACTTTCAAATAAACATACATGTATGACTAAATATGTTTTTGGAAAACGCATAATGAATTCTTACTGAAGTAATATTAAATTTTAAAACAAATGATGGAATCATTATGGAATACATTTTAAGACAAATTGAAATCATTTTTTATGGCATTCTTATTAAATCATTGCAAAAAATGTAATTTACTATTTAGACATTTTTTTTTTTTTTTTTTTTACCTTTTTCACAGCGTTATCCATTATATGCACTTAAAACCGGATGTGACGTCCTTGCAAGCTCCGTGAACATGAGCACATGGAGTGTTGCTACAATTTTTCACTATTAAATGGAGAATTTCAATGATTTAAAGAAATAATGAAATATTTGATATTATTTTTAATGGCATGCTAATTAAATAATTGCAAAAAAGGCATTTTTTTTTTCTAATGTGCAGTTATTTTTTGTGAAAGATGGTTTCTTTGCGGTTTTGAGAGTTTCCAATTAGCGGAAATCTATTCAATCTTCGTATCTATTCACATACGAATGATTTGTTGCTAAGTATGAATAGTATTCTAGTGTGTTTGGTATTTAAGACATTCGAAGCAAAATTGTTAGAATATATTATTATCCCTTCCCACCCCGCCCCAATCACTGATGGATATAATGTACAAATATGTATATATGTTTTCTGTAAATTATTGTTGTGCGGTCATTTATGTACTTGTACATGTTTATACTAGTATTGCATTGAGAAAGATATTGCATGTATATAAATGGCGATCTTGTAACGAATGCACCTAACTAATATATTTTTTTGTTTCTGTTTTTAAATTAGTTCAAGAAAAACTTGTTTTTGGACGAGAGAAACGAAGGATAAAATAAACTTTTATCTCGTCAACAAAGGTGGACAGTTGTGAGGGTCCTTCAGAAAGCTCAGTCTGTTAAAAGACGGCGTATCATAATTTCCCAACCCCCCGTTCTATTTTAAAGGTTTTATTTCAGTCTTTTAGAAAATCGTTTTTGCTATTTTGCAGATTGAAATCGCATGTAAAAAGGAATCTTCATGTTGAAAACAGGGATACTTATAAGCATTAATGTGAAAAATAAAGAAGTGAAAAATATAAAAGAAGCAATGCGTTAAAGGAGTTGCTCTTCATATTCCCTCATGAAATTAACAAAGATCTTAACATTCCGTGGTATTATTAATATCAGTTCAATGGTACGTCGAAAAGCTCAAATGTGAGTAATCTAGCATACAAGATGTCACCGTAACGGAAGTCCAAAAATATCAGTAACCGAGATGAACTTGATTGTTGTAAACAAATCTAGTGAATGAAGATGAAAGAAATACAGTAGGGGATAAATGCCTCCTCACTTTTTCATGTGTTTTGTAACAGTGTTATTTAAGAAATACAATATCATTTTTAGAGTTCCATTGGTATATGATATGAAGTTGGTCACGTGACCAAATCCTCTAACGCCCGAATTAAGGGCGTTATTATAATAGTAGATTTGAACGCGTACCAGCTTCATGTCATATCCCCACCAAATTCTAAAAAAAAAAAAAATGGTATTTTATTTCTTATGTTTTATTTTTATCCGTGTTACAATGAAAAAATGCACAATTTAGATTTTGTTATGGAAATGCAACATAACATACATATGCGAAGTCATGTGACGTCAAAGTCTACACCTTCCAACGAATAATGTGTGACGTCATTATGTAGGCAGGTGCACGGTTTTCAAGCTCCGATAATGTATATCTTTTTTGAGTGAAAACTGAAATCTCCAGGAATGTTTTGGACATCAATTATTATGTAAGTTAACTGTAGCTAAAATGAGCTAAAGAAAATAATATTTGAAGCTCGTGGTAATTGCACTTCCCAAAAACTTAAGTGATTTCCAAAAGATCGAAGGCATGCCGCCATTGTGAACACTTACTCATCAGGGAGAACTTTTTTTTGTTAGTGATTTTGAATTGTGTGTACACTTTGTGTTTATCTTTATATATATTTATATATTGCTTACACATCGTTCTATCAACTATGGCTAATTTGTCTGTAAATGCTGAAATCAATCCAAACAAGAGAGCAAGACAGGACAGTAGTGTTATTCTCTCGGGTGATCTCAGCAAACTGAACGATTTACTAGACACCATTTCATCAGATGAGAACTCTTTCAAACAAGCAGTCAATCTTATAATTAACAAAGAAAACTTTAAAAGTGCACTTGCTGAAGTCTTTGTCTCAGAAATTACGTCACTTCGTAAGGAAGTAAGCGAGCTCACATTTAAGCTCGACGAAATGGAGCAATATTCGAGACGAAATTGTTTAAAAATCACAGGTATACCTGAGGAAAAGAATGAAAACACAGACACATTGGTTCTAAACGTTGTCAACAATTTAATTCTAAAAGACAATAACGAGAAAATTACAGTGAAAGACATCTCAAGATCTCATAGAGTAGGAAAGTACAACTCCGGACAAAACAAACCACGAGATATCATTGCTAAATTTGCCAGTTACAGGGAGAGGGCCAGAGTGTATGGAAATAAGAGAAATCTCAAATCCTATAACCATAACCCATCAAAGCAAACTGGCCCGATCTACGTAAACGAAGCCCTGACTTCAAGACGAGCTGAGTTGTACGGAAAAACGCGTGATCTCGTGAAAAAGAAAAAAGTGGACAGTTGCTGTACATATGACGGCCGTATTTACGTTAAACTTCATGGTCCAAAAGGGGAAAAATTACCCATAAACACAGTCGACGACCTGGAGCGTTTTCACCATGAAGAAGACGATGCTATTTACAACGAAGGAGAACAGGTCCTGGCGTCGACGCCAATATCGTAAGAACAATGTAAAATACCTTGTTTTGATTACAAACACGTCCACGTGTTCACATCTTCGAGACGCTTAGAACTACATCACATCAGCGCTTTTGTACTACTTTCGTTTTCACTTACATGTAGTAAACATTACGGATGTCCCAAATGATCATGGAAAGTACGTTCATGTTTATGTTTATATTTATATTAAAATTACTTTGTTGGTCACACTACTCCCACATCGAAAGATGTATGTACATAGATGTTTTATCTAGTATTGTTAACATCAAAATACATGTGTGTAAATATTACAGAGGCAACACATTGCCCGATTTGTTTCCAATCTTTATACCTGCTTGGGAACCGTGCCATTTAATGAACTCTATGGTCCCAACTTTATATACATTGTTATTATTCTTTTTATTTTCCAGTTTTTTTGAATTGATAAATGCTATATATTGCCAAACAATTATTATGTCATTAAATCCCATTTCAAGGCGGCTCACAAAATCCAACATTGAAGTGTGTCCACAAATGTTTATAGATAATGGGTAATTCTATTGAGCAGTATCGTGCCGCTATTGGGGTTTTTTACATCCAGTGTCATAGCATACTGATAAGGTCAGCTATAAGAGTCTTAAAAATTGCAAATCTGTTAAAAATTTTACTGTCTGCATTAGGGTTTTTCAAGCAACAATACAAGAGTCTGGCATCTTGGTCCCTCAAAATAAATTTTTTTGCACAGTTATTTATGTTTTTCATCCTTTTACGCTCAGGTGACATTGAAACAAATCCAGGACCAAATGTTGAAAACTCTCTTGATATTTTACATCTCAATATCAGAAGTATAAGAAATAAGATTGATTCCCTCATGTATTTAGTTCATGATTTTGATATCCTGTGTTTTAGTGAAACTCACCTGGACCCAAGTGTAACAGATGAAAATTTATTTATAGAAGGTTTTAAGAGTATTTTCAGAAAAGATCGAAACTCCCATGGTGGAGGTGTAATGATTTTTGTCTCCAATTTTATTAAGGCAAGCCGTAGAATAGATTTAGAACCAACTGATACTGAAATATTATGGATAGAAATACCTCAATTAAAGGGAAACCTTCTTATATGCTGTATTTACCGCCCACCACATACTAGCAGTACCTTTTGGCAAAAGTTCTCTTGGTCTATTGAAAAAGCCAATGATATCTCTAATAATATTGTAATACTTGGTGACCTTAATGTTGATTTCTTAAAACTAAATACATCACATGAAGTTCATACAATTTTGGACAGTTGCAGATTAACAAACATCATACATGAACCTACAAGAATCACTTGTAACACAGACACTCTCATAGATCCTATCATTATTAGTGAAAATATACATGTACATGATTCTGGTACCTTGAATGTTGCTCATACACTTAGTGATCATAGGGCTACTTATATATATATTCATCAGAACAGCAGCATTAATATGGCATACAAACGCAAAGTATGGGAATACAAGCATGCAGATTTAGAACTCCTAAATACACTCATATTACAAAGCGACTGGAATAGCATTATTGATGATGCAGAAAACATGGAAACTGCTACAAAAAACTTCACAGAAAAGTTTAATTCTATTATTCACCAATGCATACCAGAAAAAACTGTAACCATAAGGCCAAATGATAAACCATGGATGGATTCTTTTCTAAAGAAAACTATGCGTATTCGCAATAGACTCAGGAAAAAAGCACAAAAAACTAAAAGAGAATCTGATCGCATTATTTTTCGTAAAATACGAAATAAGGTTAACAACATGAAAAAACATGCCATCACTAATTATTACGATAATATTGATTCTCATCTAAAGGATGCTAGTAAGAATAATCAAAAATTATACTGGAAATTATTGAAAGACTTTTTTCACACTAAATCGACGAGTGAAATACCACCCATTCAGTATATTAATGACAATAACAAAGATAGATTTGCAATACTAGACACCGACAAGATTGAACTCTTAAACAAGTATTTTACATCTATCACATTTTTAGATGATAGTGACCATGAACTTCCAAATATAGAAATTAGATGTAATGATAAATTTCCAGAAATACAAATACAAGAACATGAGATTACAGATATAATTTCAGTAATTCCTGTCAATAAAGCAGTTGGTCCAGATTGCATCAGTCACAAAATGTTAAAGTCCTGCAAAAATACTATATCAAAACCACTGTGAATATTATTTAATAAATCATTATCATTAAAAACATTTCCTGAATGTTGGAAATTAGCATATGTTCTTCCACTATTTAAGAAGGATGACCCCTCTATAACTTCAAATTATAGACCTGTGTCTTTGTTGAGTTGTGTAAGTAAAATATTTGAAAGAATTATATTCAAACATGTGTACAATTACCTACATTCAAAAAATCTTTTTTATAAATATCAGTCAGGCTTTTTACCTGGGCACTCTACTGTATATCAACTTCTAGAAATATACCATTCTATTGTGAAAAGTATTGATGAAGGTAAATTCTGTTGTATGGTGTTTTGCGATTTATCCAAGGCATTTGATAGAGTATGGCATAAAGGCTTAATTTATAAACTTCAAATGTATGGAATCAATGGCAATATGCTAAATTGGTTTGAAAGTTATTTAAGCAACAGAACACAACAAGTCAAGTACAGAAATCTGCTCTCTTCCATAGGTTATGTAAAAGCTGGAGTCCCTCAGGGATCGGTACTTGGACCACTCTTATTTTTACTATATGTAAATGATGTTGCTCAAAATATGATATCTGTTTGTAGATTATATGCTGATGACAATTCTTTACAACAATGTTCAGAAAATATCACTCTTATTGAGCAAAATCTTAATCATGATCTTAGAATATTACATGAATGGTCGAAGAAATGGTTGTTGAAATTCAACCCACAGAAAACCAAAGCTGTATTTTTTCATTTAAAATCTGTGCAACAATTTCCAAATTTAATTTTTGAGAACTGTCAATTAGAATATGTCACACAACACACACATCTTGGGATACTATTGTCTTCAAATTTGGGGTGGTCTGAACATATTGATAACATTGTAAAGAAGGCTTACAAAAAACTTGGTTTACTGAAAAAACTAAAATTCACTGTGTCAAGGGATATTTTATCCCAGATGTATATTTCTTTTATCAGACCACAACTGGAATATGCTGTTGAAGTTTGGTCTGGATGTACAAAGGCAGATATTGAAAAGCTTGAGAAAGTTCAATTATTTGCTGCTAGAATAGTAACAGGTCTTACACTTATTGCTTCCAAAAATTCACTTTATCTGGAAACTGGATGGGAACCTTTGGAAAATAGAAGAAATCGAACTAATCTAGTAACAATGTACAAAAAACACAACAATTTAGTACCCACTTACATTCAAAATATAGTACCTGATATTAGAGGCAATATTTCACAATACTCTACTCGAAATTCTTCCAACTATTCCTTACCAAAATGCAGATTAGAATTATTCAATAAATCTTTTATTCCGGACACAGTTAGAAAGTGGAATGCAATTAAACTCGACATAAGGGAGGCAACTTCCATTAAATGTTTTAAAAAAATTTTGTCAAGCAATATTGTAAAACCTCCAAAGTATTTCTCTTTTGGAAAGAGATTTTGGAATATTATTCACACAAGGTTAAGACATAATTGTATTTTAAATTCTGACCTATTTCGCTGTAATTTAATAGACAATCCAAATTGCTCATGTGGACAAATAGAGGATCCCTACCATTTGTTTTTTGTTTGTAGAAAATATGCAACAGCAAGACATTCTCTAATGAGTAATTTATTATCATTCAACAGTTTGTACGTTATAGATGTGCATTTGATGTTATGGGGTGTAGATTCATTTTCTGATCAGAAAAATGTAGAAATTTTTAAAGTTATTCATACTTTTTTAAAAGAATGTGGTAGATTTTCTAAAAAATCTTAATTTTTGTATATAGAATTGTATTCTGGTATAAAGAGCTTACAGTCTTTGACACTACTAATTGTTACTGAGAATAATTGTACTTTATTATGGCAATGTTATAAAATTTTGAATAAGGAGAAGACTATCTAAGTTGTAGAACTTGTGTCTTATCCTTTTGGCTTTGTCAATAAAATATGTTCAATTCAATTCAATACACCTTCCAACCATACGCAAGAACGTCTAATCACGTGACCAACTTCATGTCATCGGAAATTGAAAACCAAATTCGTTAGTACTGTCATACAGGGAAAGACATCAGTAAATGTAAATATTTCTTCTTAACATTAGCTCTGAAATGATAAGGCGTGGAAAAGTGGTTGAGGTTTCATTCTCTGAAGTCAGAGGTAGAATATTTGCGATTTCTGGACCCATTTGAACGTTGTGCTCAGTGAAAGATTGAGAGACAGAAGCAGGTTGTGTTTTCTGATTCGTTATCGTACAGATATGGAGCTCAGGTAGGCTTTAAAATGATAAAGATATAAAGCCAGGATGAAAACATCTGAAGGAAGGAGAGGCTGTGTTCAGGGTGTTGTTGGCTCCGGGGGAAAGGTTAGTTTATTCTGTGTGCTCAAAGACAATATGGTTGTTTCTCGGTGTATGGAAGTATCAAGAAGCTAGGGACAAAGCTTTTAATCAGATTACAAAAATATTAATTTAGCAAACATGGCAGTACAATTTTTATATTAAAATGGAATACATCTCCACATTAAGGAATGTGGCCCCGAGTTATTCTATTAGTAATAAAGATTCAGTGTTAAGTGAAGAAGTTGGGTGGGGGAAGAGAATGCGTATGGCCATAAAACTGTAGATCAGACTGCATCAAACTCTAGTGCGATAAAAAGGAAAAAGTGAAGATAAAAGTGATCGATCTTAAAAAAAATCCACAAACAATACAAATCTGTGAACAGGGCATAAAACACAGACCCACGGAAATTCCAGAGATGGGATCAGGTGCTTATGAGGAGTAAGCAACTCCTGTTGACGGGTCACATCCGCCGTGAGCCCTATCTATTGATCAAGCAGAAGGAATATTCCGAAGTTAAATAGTTAAAGTATAAAAACCAATGCCTAGAAATTGGTATGAAACACGTCAGCCAAAATACAACCAATGATAGGTTATATTTGCT